GTCTGGGCGATTGAAGGCGTTGGCAACGCCGAATCGTCTCGATCTGATCTGGGCGATTGAAGGCGTGGAAGACAACCTTTCCGATCTGGGCGATTGAAGGCCTTGGCGACAGCGAATCGTCTCTCGTCGTTATGGTGTCTCTTCGTCTCTGTGACCGTCTCTCGTCGTCGGGATCTCTCCTTTCTTCTTCTTGTTTAGGTACTCGTCTCTCTCCTCTCTCTGATTTATCCTTCTCTATTTCGTGTTCACTAATCATCTCTCGATCTTGCAGCCATGGCTGCTGCAGAGATTCAGCTATGCAGTTAACCACCCTTCAACTGTTGGAGCTTTGATGATGGTAAATTCCTCACCGATTCAGTCATTTTTTGTTGTTTTAAAACCGTTAAAAGTGTTGTTCAAGCTGAAATATTTGATTGATCTTACTGCTTATTAGATTTAGTCATTCATTCTCTTGATTAATATGTTCTGATATAAGTGAATCATTTGTTAATACCTGAAATTCATATCGAACAAGCTTGGTTCTGTTGTGTTAATCGTATTATCAGAACATTAGTTTGATGCTTTTGTTATCTTTAGTTGTGGATTGTTCTGCATTGTGGATTGTTCTAATAGAAACTGTGGATTTTTATGATATGTTCTTCATAAAAGCTGATATTGCATTTGATAGTGTAGTTGTGGATTGTTCTCATCTGTTATGCATAGAAGCTGGTACAAGATAATAAATGAAGTAAAATAATCTTATTTACACAGCTCAGCAGTTTTTGAAATAAAGTTATTGGTTATTGATGGTGATGGACACACTAGACTGCTTAGGCAATGACTTAAATTTCCATACCTAACCCGAAATTAATACAGTAGGTTGCTCATTTACTGAAAAAACTCTTGTTACTGACTCTAAATCTCACTGTTAATCTAAGTTTGATACTTTTGTTATCTTTAGTTGTGGATTGCAATTGTCTTGTTTTAATCATTTGTTTTTTCTTGTTTTTCTATGGAGGAATCATGGTGGTCTATTTGTGGATGCTTGGTTGCTGTTAACGAGTTTGCAGAAAGGCCATTGAAGCCGTTTCTCTTCAGAAGATAACAGAGGTTAGTAATTGTTGATTGTTCTTTGTTTTGTCTGCATAATGATGGTGCTTTAGGTGTAGTTGGTCAGTAATTAGATGGTGCTTTAGGTTTAGTTGGTGTCTCAAGTAATTGTTCTCTCTTCTTTGTTGATGTCATAATGATGGTGCTTTAACTAATCGTACTTGTTCTGTCTCTTTTGCATAGAACTAATAGTAAGTTAAATGAACTAATATAATTTACACCTAAGCTGAAGCAAAGTTATTGATAATTGATGGTGATAAGACATTACACAGCTAACTTAATGACTTAAATTTCCAAACCTAACCTGAAATGAAAAAACTATCTACTTAATGACTCCTAATCTCACTTGAGCATAACAAAATCAAACCAAACTCTTTGCTTAGCTCCTCTAATCTGAAATGGATATGAATTTTTCCAATCCATTTACCAATGGAAA